ATTCTCATTATCTCAACCATAGTTGTTTACAGACTTACGCAGTCTCAGTCATCGCTGTTTCTTAGGTCATCAATCCTTGATGTCGTAAGCCTGAGATTAATTTTTTTTGATTACCTTGAGTTAATGCAGGTATTGTGTATAGACTTTCATACATACACACACACACACACACAAACAAAAGTAGCAAAGTCAATGTGAAAGATAATTAGCCAAACCATTCCATATCTCTACATCTCAGGAGACTCATCGAAACCCAGCTACTCTTCATAGCTACAGTATATATTTGTGTTTTTTAATCATAAATAAGAGGTAGGATAGAGCAAGAAAGACTTCTTAAACTGTTATTAACTTGAAACTGTTATAAGAATGAGCTCCAGCTCTAATGATGTTCATCATAGGATGGACGAAAGAATAGTCCTATTTCACCCGAAACGAAGATGTTTCGTGGACTGCGTCAACACGAAAGTCGTATTAAAACCAAACAATTGCAGTGTAATGGAAACAGCCGTCGTATTCTGGTGAGATCAACTTATGAATCTCTTCTTCATGCACTTTTATGAGAAATTAAATTATCTGCAACACTGGGACTGTAGGCTAGGGTCAACTACACCGTCACAAACTAAAAACTCTCCTAATACTTGCTTACACAAACTCAAGCTTTGTGAAAATAGGACATTAGGATGTATATTGGGATTAAGTAGGTTTCGAAATTACCATAAGATCTTTATTTATAGCCGTATCACCCTACGTCGCATAAAGTGATGAAGGACTAATCGTTGAATTTTCCCCCAATCATATGAGCAAACCTCACAAATGAAGATATGAAGAATAAGAAGTTGTGGCCTCTGGTATAGTCGCAGTCTCCTTTCGATTTATAAAAGTGGATTGACCTTGGTCTTGTTGTCAGGGCGACTTAGTAGAACGCACCTAGTTCGAAGTCATTTGCCATAGTAATTTTCACGATTCCCAGCATCCGACAGTGGACTTGGTACATTCTCAAACGTTTCCCCAGCATCATAGTCGGTATCATAAGTGAATTTTGCCATTCTCCGCACCAAGCTACGAATTCATCAGAGAGACAATCCCTCGATAAACGTTCTGCCGAAATTGGTTACAATATCACTCCTCTTTCTGTCCTGGCCTATCTATCTACTCTTTAGCCTCTTATCCCACTGCCGCCCTAGCACAACTTCTCACTTATTTACATTCCACTCGTCAAAATGTGTGATATTTAATGGCAAATCTAGTGCGGCCCCACTTCACTTGCTATTCACCCCGACTCCCTTTATCTCGAACGGCTGATCCGACTCGGGCCTTAAATCCGTATCCCCTGATTGTCTCGTAGATCCGTTCCTGAGCTTTATGGTTGACCGATTTCACTCGGTTCCAGTCCCAGTGTGCATTTCATTCCAGGAGCTATTTCTCAAGGCCCTAGAAGCACGTACACTGCGGCTTCACTGAGCAGAGCGCCTAAGCTCTGATTGCCATGCTTGCTGATATCACAGTTTGCTCAGATAACATGGGTTTAATCGAGAAGAGGACTCGTAAAGGGAAGGCCTGATATCTGCAAGCATGGCAATAAGAGCTTAGGCGCTCGGCTCAGTGAAGCGGCAGTGTACGTGTTTCTAGGGCCTTGATAAATAGCGCCTGGAGTGAAATGCACACTGGGACTGGAGCCGAGTGAAATCGATCAACAAGGAAGATAAGGAACAGATATACGAGACAATGAGGGGATCCGGATTGGAGGCCTAATGCGGATCAACCGATCGAAAGAGCAGGGGGTCGGGGTGAATAGAAAGTGTGATGAGGTCAAACTGATGATGCCAGCGAAACGTTTGAGAATGTACCAAGTCCACTGTCTGATGCTGGCAATCATTACAAATACTATGGCAGACGACTTCGGACTAGGTGCGTTCTACTAAGTCGCCCTGACAAGACCAAGTTGAGACAACGAAGTCAACCCACTTCTATAAACCTCACATTGCCATCGAATTTCACTTAGCCTTGCCCCCCAAAAGGCATTTTTATTCGTGGTCGACTGCAATTTCTACCTCGACTGTATTGGTCTCATCCGCACCTCCAATTGAAATCGAAAGTGATATGGAAGATCCATTGCGACCAAATAACACCTGTGGCAGTGTAGCATGGAGGCTAAATGTCGAACTTATATGAGGTATTAGGTGGGTTCGGTTCCCATTGATGGTATTGATAGGACTATTTCATGATGCGTCGAATTCTAGTCCACCATGGATGAGTATGTATTTTGGGAGGCAAGACAAAGTGAAATTTAATGGCATTGTGGTGTCTACTGATAGCCTTGTGAGGAAAGTTGACTATCCGTCAATCCTTCATTACCATATAAGAGCTCAAGTGAAAACAGCTACTATTCAAGATGGCCAAGCTTACCGATTGGCAGGGAAAGTGCATTAACGAACATCCTATTAAGTCTATCAGCCGACGGAGCTGGCGTCAGTGGATTTGTGTGCGAACAGGGCATCTCAAGACCTCCAGTCGCCATACCAAGTGGTCCGACCCAAATAAATGGTGAGCCACGTTTGGAGGATGCTTTGTCTCCGTGATCGACGGCTGATGAGAG